CATTCTCAGATACATTTGTAATGACCTTGAATATGAAACTTTGTTAATGTTTTTTTTTTCCTTTCTGTACCTTCACAAAAGCTATCTTCATAGTGCAGTAGAAATCATGTATTGTTTCAAAGATGTTAGCCTGTTGTAAATGTAGGAAAGAATTTGGCTTGGGTTTACAAGCATGGTATATTAGCATTTTGAGTTATATGCCACTTTGAAGGCACCAGAGTATATCACAAAGTATGAAAAATAAGTCAATATTCAGCTTAAGTAGGATTTAGTATAATACAAAAGCCTTCTTTGGATAAATAATTTTTTGTTAAATTATTTTTACTTCGTGTGATTTGCATCTTCTGTGGTAGAACATACGATAGTTGCAATAACAGCCTTGCCAAATGTGTGCAGAATTCTGTAGAACCTCTGGACTCTACAAGATAAAGTGAAAAAACAGCGCTATTAAATTGGCTGGGGAGGAGATTTTTCTTTGAGAACATTATTTCTGCTTTGGCTTTCAAAATAACATGCATCACTGGAGTTGGGAGTATATGTCCATAGGTAAAGCTGTAGCATGCAGAGGAGAGGAAAAATAAGAAAGCAGTGGAGAGAAGAAAGCAGGAGAGGAGATAGATGAGAGTGTGTAACAGCAGCAAAGGACAAGTGAGTGATTTTTTTCCATTTTAATTTCTGTTCCTTTGTTTTGACTTTTATACTCTTGTTCACTAGTTGTCACAAAATTTATAGTATTAGAAGCAAATATAAAAAAAAGGCAAACCAAGCAAACAAACCCTAGGCTTTTAGTATATTGTAAGATTACTCTAAGGCTGCAGAAACTGTCCTGAGTTACTAATACTGAACTTGCATTGACTCTTTCTTTTGTTCTTTCCCCCCTTACTCCCCTTTTTTTAACCTTTTCTGGTAAAACACACAAACTTGTAATTTTTCATTTCACTCAGGTAATTAATAACACAGCTGGATTGTAAAACTTTCCTGGAAGCCATTTAATTGTGACTGATTCCTAATGACCTATGTAGGAGTTAAAAATATAGGAGGAAAGTTAATCTGATATTTTTTCATAGCGGGCTTATGCTGTAGGGTTGGAGTGAAATACGTGTGTGTGTATATCTATATACATATATGTGTATACAGTGGCTAGTGCTTCTGAAGAACAGGGTCGACAGCAAAGTCAACTGAAGTGGAGTTGAAAACCAGTGATTACTATAGGTAGAGCTACCACCTGTATTTAAGGTTATGTGACCCTTTCCATTTTAAGGCTTAACTCTTAATTACTTTGTAACTTTTGCCCAAGTTCAGTTCAGACAGATTTTTCCATGCCAGATGTCTGCTTTGGGTTGAATTTTTTGAAAGTTTCAGCCAAAGCAGTTCTGTTTCAAGAATAAGGCTAGTGACAAGTATGCTATTTTGCTTGTGTGAGAATATTCTGGTGTCCTTCTTTGATGCTCCAGTGCCCCCAAGCTCTGAAGCAAGGATTTGAAATTTGGCAATAGTTCAGTCTTTGTGTTGAGGATGTGCCTTTTGCCTCCCTGTAAAAATCCACCCAAGTTTCCAGACCGGTTTACAAGGCTTTGAAAGATTGCCATTTGCATGGGCTTCATAGGAATTTCTTAAAACTTCACAATAAGCTTCCTTTAGATTCTGTTCACACTGGGAATGCTTCAGGCAGAGTAGAGCTGCATATTTCATCCCACTTCTGCTAGGAATTGTAATGGTTGGATGTGGGTGCTGACATTGAACCAAGAGTGGGCAACATTTTGTCTTGTACCACCACCGCCTATTCCCATGTCTTATTCTTTCCCGCTGGTGAAGAACCTGGGCCCTCTGGAAAAGAAACTTTCTCACTCATCTGAAAGAGCATGACATGTGGAGGAGAATAATTTAGGAGTGTATGTATCTGGTTTGTACCATTCCTTTGGTTACAGAAAATGTGTAGGTTTACTGGCAAAATATTACTTCCTTTTCTAGTGGATGTTCAGATAATAGTAATTAGGTTTTGTTGCATTTAAACTTCAGTAGTTGAGTGGGTTTTAATCATTTTGCTAAACTACATAGGCATCAATTGAAAAAAAAAAAAACCTCAAAAAAATATCACCGTACATTAATGTTACTTAGGGCAAAAATCAAGAGGTCCTTTTCAAACATTTAAGTTTAACTTGGACCCCTTGTGCTTAATACGTTGCAGTATAGCCTCAACTTCACAAGCGTCACATGCTTTGTTCAAGAGGCAACTATTTGCTTGGAATGGGGAAAGGGGTCTATTCTGAGGATGAGTCCAGGATTTGTACAGTAAAGAATTCATATTCAGCTGTTACAGAAGTTAGTCAACAAACTCCAAGTGAAGCAGAGATTTCAGGAATAAAAAAGGGGCTTTATGGTTAGGAGAGTTGAATGCTTCTTGATGAATTGTGTGCAGTTTGTGCTTAGTCACTATGTGTTTTTACGTGACGCACTGAAATAACTATTCCATACTGGGTGTTCTAGTGGCTGGTTTGAGAACTTTTCAATTTGCAGAAATGCAGACACTTAAAACTGCAAGTGAATTCTGGGAGCTAACCCTCAGTAAAATATTGCGTGTTATTAAGGATAGTAAAAATCAGGTTCAAAGTGTATCAAATTTGACATCTGGAACTAGGGAATGTTTTAATTTAATTAACCTAATGCCTCAGTCACGTGTTTTAAAGATGTAGAAATTACTTGTCCCATCTCTATAGAAAGGCACATGTAGAAATGGGCTGCTGTAAATAAAGCATATGACCACCTCCCACTGATCAGGGATGAAGCAAAGCACTGATAAATACATAGTCAAAAATTTATGTAAAAAGGTACAAGTATATTATTACTAGTAAAACCCCCATTATTATTATTACTAGTAAACTAGCCTTTGTAACTTTTAAATTCCCTAATAATTCCCTTAAAATAGAAAGTATTATTTTCTCTGTGAAGTTAATAAGCATCCAACTTCCTTTTGTACAAATAGTCCAGTTTTGCTGATTCTTTGGTAGCTCTCTTGGTTCTGGAGTTGGAGTCGTTATTTCACTCCAAAATTTTTCCAGTGAGGCATACAAACCTGGACTATAATTGATATGGCTGAAACCAGTGATGTCAACTCTTAAGAAAGCAATGCTTTATTTTAGTGTATTAACTAATCCATTTGGTACTGATCCAAGCATAAAAACCCAGTATCAGAGCACTGAAACTTGGAGTTTGTAAACTGTGAGAATAACATTGAAATACAAGTTTAATTAGCAATAACCCTATAATTCTTTCTGAAATTATAGCCACCTTACCTTAGTAGTAGTTGAATAAAACATTACTGGGATCCTCATCCTTTCTGTTCACTGTGGTGATGGCAAACTGTTGTAGTTTAAGGGGGAGTGAGTGAGCAGCTGCTTGGTTCTGGGTTACCAACTGGGCTTAAACCACGACACAAACAAACATACTTGTTCAAAATGATGACTACCACCTCACTGGGATAAATTTCCACTTTGTAAAGCTGCTTCACCAGTACATCATTTCTGCCACTTTGTAAACCCAACTGTTACCTGAAGTTTCCTATGCAAAAAAAAGATTTTATAGGTTTTTTGAAAGAGACAGAGTTACAACAAATAAGTGATTGTGTGTTTGTGGAAGTGTCTAGCTCCTGGAAGGAAAAGATTTGCTGCTAACATGTAGTGAATTTAATGCTTTGGAAATGGAGAGCTGGTAGCAGTGGAGAGTTTTAGGTTTTTAGTTTCTCTTAAGGTGAAGGTGTGAGAGGAGGGTTGTTTTTTTTTCCTCTTGAAAGTAGTCATCAAACTTTTTTTACTTGTTTCTTGGGCCATCCCCTCAGGGTGCTTGCTGCCTCTGAAGCAGCAGATCTCAGATGGGTCTTTTGAAAGCTCCAGCAAACGCAAAGCATTTGACAGAATGTTTGTCATGCAGTATTTTCTGGAGAAAGATGGGAATTTTGAGCTGCTCAGAAGCACAGATCTTAGAGGAGCTAGGCTGCGAAGAACAGCAGACTTATTTGCTTAGCTGTGTGAAATCCACTTGCCCTGTGGACAACTGTGTTGGCGTTTTTGTTTTTGGTTTGTTTTTTTTTTTGTTGGTTCCCCTGTGCCCCAAGACTTCCGCCTACTTGTGTGCTCTTCCATATGTGTTTTAAACTGTGCTTTGAAGTTGGGCAACTAGCTTTAAACAAAAGTTGTTACCACACTTCTGCATAGCATCTAGCTTGATTTCAGCATGCTGATGTGTCAGTGATGTGGTTTAGAGTTAACAAAATGCAATTCTTTGCTTGCTTTGACATTGGTTTCTGTGGGATTAAAATTAAAACAAAAAAATAATCATATTACACTCTTTGTGTAAAAGCCAAGTCAAAACAGACCATAGAATGTGATTAAATGGCTGTTTAGCAATTATTAGTTGGTCGGGCATCTGCCTTGACAGATAGATGAGACAAAGCCCATGAGGTATCCTGTATTTTCTCCTCTGTCACCTTCCTTTTTCTCTTCCCCATGTCCCCTAATAATCTTAGGAATTTCTGAAAACCCAGACTTTGTGTGGATTCAGTTTCCAATGTAAGTCATTCTAGAATATTGTAGTTCAGAGTGCCTAGATAAAATAATTTAAGATGCATGTTTTCTGTCACCTTTGATCAGGGTTCTTCAGAGTACCAAAGTACCAAATGGAACCAGATCCAAATAGTACTGCTTTGACTTCCTTGAATGTATATGCAAGTCCATATTTTTTTATATTGATTTTTATTTTGAGGTTAAGGCACAAAATGAAGAGTCGATTCAGAAAGTAAAAGCAAACACAACTATAGTCAGCTGAATTATTTGTATCCAATTATATACCATCAGTAAATTAGCTATGAGTAATTTGTAGTATTTCAAATTCATTTGAAAAAGTAACTAAAATCTGATTTGTAAGACTGTTAAATGGGTTTAATACATGTTTAAGTACATTAAATGTTTCTGAATGTTTTGCTTCTCTGTCTTGTTTTTTGGCAGCAACTTGAATTAGTGGAACCAAGCGGCTGGATTCATGTTCCTTTAACAGATACTCATAAGAAGCCTATTCGCACGTTTATGATTCAGATTGCTGTTCTAGCTAATCACCAAAATGGAAGAGACACTCACATGAGACAAATCAAAGTGTACACGCCAGTGGAAGAGAGCTCTATTGGTAAATTTCCTCGATGTACAACAATTGATTTCATGATGTATCGCTCCATAAGATAAGATTTCTTTATGAGAAATAATAAAGGCATTTTTTGGTGGGCATCATCATTGCTTAAGTATTCAGGTACTTAGAGAGCAGGTTTTACTTCTGTGTAATTATATCTTTATGTTTATACTTTGTACAATTTTGAAATAAAGATAATCAGTGCTACAGTATATTGTAGTCTGTAATATTGCATTACTTTTGGTTGGAGTCTTTGAGTGCTCTTGTATTATCTGGTTTAAAGACATTACCAGTAGTGTTTTCCCATCATTGCTTATGATAATGTGTTGTACAGGTTTTTTTTTCTGGTTAATGACTGACTGTATATATTTAGCCTTCTTTGTAACTGCGAAGTAGATCATACAATTATAGACTGTCTCAAATTGGAAGGGACCCCTAAGGATCATCATGTCCAAGTCACTGCTTCTTGCAGGACTATCTAAAACTAAACCATATGAATAAGAGCATTGTGCAGATGCTCCTTGAAGTCTGATGGGCTTGGTACCATGACCACTTCCCTGGGGAGCCTGTTCCAGTGACCAATAATGCAATAAAGGTGACAATGACAGGAAGAAAACCAAACCATTCCAAAGTACTCAATACATTATATACATTAATATAGATATGCTGAGTATAGGTCATCCAAATGTGGTAGCTGTTCAAAACAGAGGGAAAATTAGGAATATTCCAACATCTTACAATAACATGGGAATGAATGTAAAGGTCTAATGCACCTTCTAAAGTACTGAGAACTCAAATGTGTAATACAAGGTAATCTTAGACTCATAGCATGGAGTTTCTGTAATGCATTTTAAAGTAAAAAAACAAACCCAAACCAAAAGACAACCAAAAAAACCTCACAACCAAACCAACCAACCAACCAAAAAACCCAAACAAACATTGCAAGGAAAAAGTATGCTTCATCTGCTATGAGCAGTAATATTTAACATCTCTTCTAATGTCTCTATCTTAAAAAAAAAATGTTTTAGAAAGAGGCTGTTGATTTACAAGGGTTACTTTTAAAAGGTTCACTACTGATCCAACCCCATTCTTTCTCTAGCACCATAAAAGTTGATGATAAATCAGGCTAAAGTCAAGGAAGAAAAAATAATACTTTTGTTAACTGTGAGCAAAGAGAGGCTGATAATAGTGGAGGCTCATCAAACAATGATACAGCATCCTCCAGCGCACAAAGGAGCTGAAACAGAGGAAAGTGGGAAAGTTGTCAAAGATTTAGTTGACTCAAAGAAACTTTGAAGTATTCTATTACTCCTGATAGCGTAGTTGAACAAGCTGAAATCTAGCTTGACTACTTATCCTGCTATTCTGAAATCATAGATGGGGGTTTTAAGAACCTGTGTTAAATTGGATGATGTTAAGCTTTACTGTTATTAAGGGAAACTGTATTTACAAATTGAATTTAATGCAATCTTTTAGTATATGTTAAGATGCAAATAGCTCTTTAGAGGTTAAGGCTGTAGTTAGATGTTGTACTTCTATCGATAGCAGATCCAGTCTGAAGCTGCACATTCCAACATTTTGTTTCTACTTTATTGCCAGAAATGACCATCTCCATGGTTGGCCTTCTTCAGATGCTTCCATGGCTGTTCACTGAGCTGCATCTGTGAAACAGTTTGATCCTTGGCCTTTTAAAATCAGTATATTCTTAGTACTGGCTGGAAGCAAGTAATCTGTGGTGGAACTGTGGGAGCGAACGGTGAGTTATGATCATGATGAGAGCAGGAGCAGATTAAAAGGGAGAGTACAACTACTAAGTCCTTCAGCTGCTGCTGACAGTGATCTATGACCATACCTGAAAGGCAGTATCAAAATGCAAATTCATTACTACAGTTTGTGTCTTGCTCTTTGATACTTAGTACTACTTGAAAACAAGTGCAATGGCCATTCTAAATCTTTTCTATGTTGTTTCATAGCACTTGTAGATACATTGCATTGGTATTTAGCATCTGTGCAAGTACATTTGTGTTTTAACATTTTTGGTGCTTAGAGAAGCCTGCTGATTTTTAAGTGATGAGATCATAAGGGGATTATCTGAAAATAATACACAAAGGCAGTAGCCTGATTTAATATAGTACTTAGTATTTGAATTGGGATAAACAAACTGATCTGCCAGACTATTGCAGGAAGTTACTACACATGCATTGTGTCTAGCTGCTACTTTTTTTTTTTCTTGTTCATATTTTTCAGACACAGAATTGTGAACTTATAACTTGAAAGAGCAGTTCTATGTGACTAAGCACCAAAATTATGGAGCATACAATTTTTTCAGAGACAAAGTTCAAGAACAGAAATTTCTTGCAATGTTAATTTAGTTAAAACTTATATGTTGCTTAGCCACATGCTTCTTTGGAAGGTGTCAACAAGTGCTGTAAATTACAGTTAACTGCTAATGTGTACTAGAGATCCAAAATTACAAACATAAAGAAAAGCCAGAATGAGTAACCTTTGCAGTGAAAATTCACAAAATAAACATTCTTACTGATATATAAATAGTGCTAATGGAATACTAGAACTGTTTTCATACTGATCATGAATTTTCAGGGGTTTAGTGAAAATGGGAATAACATTTTAGCTCCATATACTTGTCTCCCATATTCACTTCCTGCCAAGTCTGAAAAAGAAATTTCTTCTGCATCCTTTAAATAATATCTTGCATTCATAACTATCATGTTTTATTTTTCCCCACATGCACACTTTGACTGCTCTTTGGAAGGAGACAAGCCCTAGGAATCTCTAGTCTTTAGTATGTCCAAGTTGTCAGCTTCTCAGTAAAAATGAATACAGAGCTGTATCTCTGAAAAACATAAAGTTGGCAATGGACCTATTTGCCCTACAGGGTGGTTTTACAAATGTTAACTTCAGGGGATGCGAAGAAGAGACAGGTTGTCAACTTGTTGCCAGCTTAAAGCATACTTTTTCTTCATGGTGAGCAAATAAGACTGCTTCTTCAAAGTGATGAAGAAAAAATAATGAGATATTCGCAAATGTGGCTTGCTAAGAATTATAACTGTGTCTAAACCTAAGAGCAGTTATGTGTGTATTTTGGCTTGCTTCTCCAAATATGAAACAGTAAGGTGTACTGGTTGCAAGAACAACTGGTCTTAAATAATTCTGATCATAGAAAAGAGAGCTTTTGTAAAACTTTTAAAGTTTTAAAGGTATATGATCTGAAAAGACTTCTTTGCTTGTCAATTAGAAACATACAATCTTAGCATTGCATTTAGCAAGCTGACTACTAACTAAAGATATTCAAAGTTTAGAATTGAATTAAAATCAGTGATTTGTTTAGTCTAAAGGTTTTTAGAGAGGGTAAGAAGGTGTATATTTGTATTCCATAATGTCCAATACTTTAGGCTAATAAAGCTTAAACACTTCGTGAGTAACTGTTTTTACTAAAATGATGATCTGAGCAGTATACTATAGGTATGTACCTATGTGAAAGATGTTTCGGAGGGTTTGGTTGTTTTCCCCTGCCCCAAATCACAGGACTTTGCCAGCAGACCCATAAGTAATTTCCTGGTTTGTTTTTACAAACCATGTCTATAACATACCTTCTTTGCACTGGTGTGCTTCTCCAGCTGGAGACTAAGATCAGAGTGGACAGTTCTGTGTTATTACTGTAGCGGTATCAAATACCAAGTAGCAACTATCTGACAAACTGAACCAAGTGGGTTCAGAGTTTTTTGTTTCTCAAGCAATATAAAACTCTTAAGAGCTATATGCTGAGAATAGTGCTGTCAGCGAGAGAAGTAGTCAGGAGGTCACCTTTAATCTTTGGTGGCCTAGTGGGGCCATACCTTAAAATACTGATAATTTGTAGTTCCTTGTGACTAATGTGGAAGATGGAAGGAACTACAGCGATATAAAAACAAGTAAGGCATAAACTTTCTCTTGTTCAACAATGAAATACATAAAAATTCCAAGTTAAGTCTCAGAATATTATCTCTAAAGTCTGCTTTCCTTTTTTGGAAAGACACACTGGTAAGTGGATGAGCACTTAATTTACTTGTATTCCGTTAAAGGTGGTGGACTAGTGCTCATTAATTTCGTTAGAGTATGGGGTTAGGTCTTTTTTCATACTGAATTATAGATACTTTAAGGCTTTCAAATTTGTGCTGTAGTCTGGCTAGTAGTGTTACCTCATTATGACTTCACCTTAACCTTTTAAATGTTGCAATTTTTTTTTCTTTTTACATTTTCTTCCCTTGCTAATATTAAAGAAAAAGAACTGGAAGTTGCAACATGGCTGAAAAGTTGGCAGTTTTCTAACTTCAGGCAAGGTATAAAAGTGCATCCTGAATTTATATGTTTAATTGCAGTATCAAAAGCAGAATTACAGGTTAGATGAGAAATGAAAGGTAGGAATCATCTTGTTTTAACGTGTGTGATACGGATTCCCACTGTAGCTAGAGCATTGTCCCTCACTGTTGAAGCAGGCAGGAGTTAATAATCCTAAGTGAACTCACTGGAAAACTAGAGTACCATAAAAAGAGATAAATAACAGACTAGTAATATATTGAGTGAAATGCTGTGATTAGCTGTATTATGTAGCAGATAGAACTCCTTGATTACTGCTCTGTATTTTCTATATCATTTGTCATCTAAGATGTCATTGCCAAATAGTCTTTCTCTTTTTCTCCTGTATAATAAAACATCTGATAAATATTGAGTTGTATAAGATTAAGGGTAAGATTTAAATAAATGGGATAAAATGGAAGATTTATTTGTTCTAAGGAGTAATGACTTTGCAGTGATTTGATTAATCACTTCAAATAGTAGTAATTTAGGGAGCTTAAAACTTCTTTTGGAAGATCTCATACTAGGACTTTCTGCCTTATGGAACAGAAATTTGATTCAAAGTGTAGGTGAAAAAGCCTTTCTTAAATTTAACCTGGGGTTAATTTTTTCTATAGACACTAAGAAGAGGAAAGTTACTGAGT